TTAATATCTGGCCGCTCTATACAAATCAATTTCACAAAAATTACTATGATATTGAAAAGCTAAAAATATAATGTCCACGGACTTCAATTTCAGCTTTTACCGTCCAATGCCCGAGCTCTGGATATTGAGTGGCACAGCCGTGCTAGTGAAACCCTAGCCATAACATCATGTAAATGGAGAACATCCAGCAATGCTCCTAAATGTGAAGATAAAGTAAATTTTAACAAATGGCACACTTCTTGACAATGTAATTGAACCAACCCATAAGCTGCAGAAAGTGGGGCAAAAAAGTGTACAAGAGACAATTCATCAATAAAATGAGGGTTACTCCATGTTCATGGAACATTTTTTTCACTTGACTCTGTCCTTCTCATCAAAGGCAAGACGTAAACTTTATGTATAAGTTTATATATATGCAAATATCTCAGTAAAGAATGACTTGTAATATTGCTTCAAAGGCACATAGCTTTTTTATTATTATTATAAAATATAAGCCTTGAAAAAAAATAATTTATACACCTCAATTTGGAAGTTGTATCAATTAAAATCTCAATCTCAAACTAATAATTGTATCAATTTTGGACTCTCACAAATGAATCAATTTAAATTACCCACTAAAATTTTGTTTTAAACCGTTAATGCATAACTTTCACACGTGCATATAAAATTTGTTTTAAATGTAAGAGTTAATGTAAATTAGAGAGAAATCCGATAATCAAAAAGATAGTATTAATTTTTCATCATTTCATCTTCCACTATTTTTCTTTACTTATTTAGAAATAATTATGTGATAATTTTTCTTACTACTTTTGTGAGATTTTGGGAGAACAATAATTTTATTTTGATGATTTTGAGCTGATTTTAACCGAATTTAGTGAATGGCTAATCATTGGGTCTAACTAAACTAATTCACGAAAATTTTAGTGTTTAAACTGATACAATTACTAGTTTTGAGTTTTGATTGATATAAACCCTTAAACTTTTAGGAATATAAATCAATTTTTTTCTAAATTTCTTTTAATACTATGATGAGAAGTTAAAAATGGTTTGTGACTAAGGCTTCTAGCATATAACCAAAAAATAAACACAAAGTAATTTACTAAAAAATATAGCTATACAGCACATACCATTTCAATATACCAAGGAACTTAATATGGGGGATCCACTTATTCTTATCTCTTGCCCTTTTTCCTACAAATACAGGTCCTATATTCATGATACTTTCAACTGGCGCAATGTGTTCCCATTTAACATGCAAGATCTCCTAGCTACAACTTTTGTGGGGCACCCTTTTAGAAAGGAGAAAAATGTCCTATGGCTCACATTAACAGAGCACTTTTTTTGGAAGTTTGGCTGGAGAGAAATAACTGGACCTTCGGAATCTTTCAACACATTCTTAAATTTGGTTCTTTTTGTGGTTTTATATTATCAGTATAAATGCATGCATCCATTTTCTGAATATAGACTAAACTTTATTCGCTAGGGGAAAAGTTTTTTTTAACTCCACCTCGGCATTTGGGGAATTTCTCTGCCCCTTCATTTGTAAAATTTCATTTAATATCTCATTTTCTGTTTTTTTTTTTTAAACAAGAATTTCATTTTCTGTAATTAAAACAAGAAGAAGAAGAAGAAGAGATGTTATTTGAAGAAAACCAACAAAATCCAATAAAAACAAAATAAAGGTGGAGAAAACCAGGACAGAGTACTGGCTACAATATAAAAGCATACCTCCAGGTTGTACAAGTTTTCCTGCAAAAAGGCATGGTAAAGTCATTAGATGCATAAACTAGGATCTAATCAAACGTTAGCTAATTTTTAGATGACACATTCTAACAATATCAAGTCCGAAAGAAATGTTAAAAGTAATCAACATAAAATAACCTAGTGACATTGCAACTGCATAAGGATCTCTTGCAGCTAGCTCAGAAAGCATTTCCAATGCATGCCTCACAGCAACTGGATCAGCAAACGACACTCTGCATTTAAATTCAGAAAGAAAAAAAAATTATATTGTAACGAAAGACATCTTGAAAAGATCAATATAAGGTGATCTTAAACATCAAGCACTTTATATAACAAGAGACTACAAGCAAAGTAGCAAAATTAAAATTCTTTCAAATGTAACACTATAGACGATAACAATAATAAAACTTCAAAATAATCAATGCCCAAAATAACAAAACTATCATGCTTATACTTTTTTATTTCTTTCTTTTTTATGTGTGATGCCAAAGCATGCTTTCACTGGGAAAAAAATCAAAGAATAAAAAAGAACAAACAAAAAACCAACCCAACAGAATGAAATGCCCCAAACCCAGAAAAGCCAACAAAAAAGGGGATCCAACCTAAAATGCTGACTTGTTGCCCCCAAGTAATTAAAGTCAACCCTCACACCAATGCTTCTACAATATTTACAATCATCTCAAAAATTCTGTCCCACCCGAAGACAAGCAGGTCTTTCCACCATCTCCACACATCTCTCATTCCCCCAATCTCGATTCTGATTGCAATAAAAAATGATTTGGATGACAAGAATCCTCAAGTATAAGCCAACAAAATAAGTCAATGCCATACATTATGAACCCGACGACATGATAACATCAATAGTCAATGTTACGAGTTATGAATCTGATGACGTGATAGTAAATTTCCAGATATAATCTTTTGTACATCAGGTAGAATCTGAAATGGGCTAGAAGTATTAAAAAATAATAATAATAATAATAGTAAACATATATTCGGTATATGTATTTAAATGGAACTATAAACAAAAGCTTGCTAGGTTCATATTAATTTTTGTTTGTGTCAAAAAAACAAGTAAATGATAAGTTGAAAGTTCTTTAGGCATTCAGATTTCAAATGAGGTTCATACCCCTGGACTGCACGATGCAGAAATGCAGGATTTCCTGGATCAAGGGGAAGTCTTCTCAATGTGCTTAGTGCAGCTTGTTGCAAATTGCTCCTTATGACAGACTACTGAATTGCAAGATGTAAGCAAATAAGTAGACATTATGGACACATGACACAAAAATGACGTGATCTTAGCAATATAACCATGGCAAATATATTATAGCAATGGGAGAAAAAAATGGACAAAGCCCAAATAATTGAAGTGTAGTACGCTTTATATTTGAAAGATTGCATCATATCATGGGTATTTTGTGCATTCAATAATTGCCCCATACTTGTATCCTATGTATCCTATCATTACAAACGTCTCCAGTTGCAAATGAACTAATGGAATGCTATAAAATTTATCCATCAAGACGAACCCCATTTCACATCTAACCTTTCTACAGAATTGTAGAATGGCAGCAATAGTAATTGTTATAAAAAAAATAAAATAAAAAGGAGAGAGAACTAGACCAGGTCATCTACTCAGGAGCATAAACAAATTTAATGAGCCAAAAATTTTATTGTGATTTTTTTTAATAGGAAGCAAAAACCATTCATTGATCTGATGAAGTGGAATGCAAAAGAAGTTCGTATCGATTAATAATTACAAAAAACACTTCCATTGATTAGCGAGGGTAGATAAGCTATAATTACAAAAGGGAAAAGACAATTTTCTCCAAGTAGTAGCTAAAAGGGATAGGATTCTATAAAATAGTTGATATTTTGGCTCTCTTCTGTGAAGATGTGGGTATTGCATTCCAACCCAAGATTCCATAAGAAAGCTCGAACATGATTAAGCTAAAAGATTTGCTAGTCCTTTTTAAATGGATAACCAATAAGTAATAAAGAAATGAGACTAAAGACATCCCCACGCCTTGGAAACTTGCCAGGCCTTTGATCATTGGTGTTTAATTAGGTTGGACTATAAACAAGCTTCAATTAGTTTGAGTTCCAAAAATATTGAACTCAAATAGGTTGGGTTGGTCCAAGGTTTCCTGAAATTACAGTTGAGAATCAACAATGGAAATAGAAATTTTATTGATTACTTGCTGGATAAGAAAATATAGGAAATACTTAAACCAAGGTAAGTCTTTGGAAAAGAAGAAAAAACAAGGATAAAGTTCTTTGGAGTGGGTACAATTTATAGGAAAACAGCTTCAAATAAATTAAAGAAAACAATGTAGACTTAAAATATTTAAGATTAAGAGATGCTTTTTTCATAAAAATCTTCTTTTCAGCAAATCTATAAGTCCCATGTAAAGACATTTTACGAGGATAACATGGCAGTTATATGGAATGAATTTGTATGACATTATTTCTAAAACTAAAGCTTCAGGATCTAAATTGTAATATTTGCACTTCAAGAACCCAACTCTTAATTCAACCTATCAAATCAAAAAATGCAAATATAATGAAAGTTTGGAGATATTAAATTCTGAAGTTTAAAAGTGACAGGAAAGAGCCTCTTGTTTTCTACCTCTTTTTTTTTTCTTTTCTTTTTTTTTTTTTTTTTTTNNGGGGGGGGGGGGGGGGGTTGTGAACATAAAACAGTGTTATATGAAGACAGAAGCAACAAGGGACAGAAACTAGAACAGTTTTTTTGTCAGAAATTACCTCCTTATCGCCACCTTTATTCCCAAGTACCCCTTTCTTGCGTTTTTGCGGGGCATCAGCAACCTGGAAATGGAAATTAAAAAGGGAAATATTTTGAGTGTTTCTACTAGAATCTAAGAAAAACAACGTAAACACCATTTTAAAAGAAGAAGATAGTATCACAAAGGAAAAGCCTTTTGGTGTCTAAGTGCCCAATGTCCAAAAGAAAAACTAAACTTTAATTGAGATAACCTACTGGTTATGTGGATTTTTCTTGAAATATAGATTTTTTTTCAAAAGAAAAAGGTTCAAGGATGAGTTTTAAAAACATTATAAAGAAAGTAAGGAAGAACAGACCAAGCTTGCAAAAACAAAAAGCAAAATCACAAGAAACAGATTTATTGTTGAGAGAAAAAAAAAAATAAAGGATAATTATAAAAAAAATGAAATTTCATTGACAACGCCCATAAAGAAGCATCATAAGTGACCATACTCCAAAACCGTTTTTTTTCTTTTTTTTCTTTTGAGAAACAGAGAATTTAGTGATAAATGAAATATACAAAAGGGGAGGAAATTCTCCCAAACCATCTAACAAAAGCATCTCCACCTTGTAACAAGAGTTTACACTAGAATCCTTAAAGGTATGCAAACGTTTACACCCATATAAAAGCTGTAAAAAGAACCAGTACTAGAAAACTGTTGAAGCATGTAGTGGAGTTGTTGAAAACCCAACTGTTGCAGTGACACCAAATGGCCCAAAATAATCCCTGTTGGTAGCCAACCAGAGGGTTTTTGTTCTGTTCTGTTCTTTTATTTTCTTTTCTTTTCTTTTTCCTATGGAAGGATCCAAGGAGACAGGGGCCAAGAAGTCAGGGATGCTTTCCAAGGGGAGGGAGGGATCAAGGACCAACTAAAAGCCTTCATCATGAAAATCCAGCAGCCATAAGCAAAAGGTCATGAAATAAAAGAGTGGCTTTGAAATTCAGAGTTCTTCTAGAACATGACTCACCAATTAGGAGACAGAAAATCAAAAAGACGTTAGCTTTTGGGGCAGCCAACCACATGGATTCACAAATGGCCAAGTTCCCATTGGAAAAGTTCTCCAATTTCTTTGCAGCAATAAGTTTCATATACTCACAAAGAACGTTGCTGGCCAAATAATTAAACCACTAGTACGAAATGAAGGATTAACAAGCACCTCCTCCATAATGTCCCTTATGACTTCTAGAGGAGCCAAACGCATCCAAAACTATTTTCATATTTTCACAGCATATTCAAACGTGCAAATACATGGTTTAGATCTTCCACCTCCTAGCAGAGCACACAGCATTAGGAGCACACAGCATTAGGAGCACACAACCTTAATGAAGATGTTTTGGATGAAGTAAAAGTAAATGGCATCAACCTCCCCAAAATAACCAACCAAGAGAAAAATACAATCTTCTTCAAGGTTTTAGCCATCCAAGGCAAGGTGAAGAAAAGGGAACTAGGATTCTAGGATGGATCAACCACGGGCAAAGAGAGACCGACAAGATAATATTAGTTGAGAATTTTGTGAAAGATTAAACTACAAGTTTGGTCCCTCAACCTTTAAGTTTGTGATATGTCTTTGAATTTTAAAAGATTATTAATAAATCCCTTAACTTTCCATCTTGTCTAATACAACCCTAAACTTTCAAAAATGTTCAACAAGACATCGACTTATTGCAAAAAAGAATTCACTTTTTTACAAGAGACAGAACTTTCTACACACTTCCTAAAGTTGACCAACTTAAAGACTTCTTCAACACTTTAAGTTTCAAAGACCAATTTGACACGACAATGACAGTTCAAAAACTTATTAGAATGACCTATAAGACAAAATCTCAGATGTTCGAAGACCAAAATTATAATTTAACCCAATACACACACATATGTATGTATGTATGTATGTATGTATGTATGTATTATTTATTCAAAGTCATCACATATTTCTTTCTTTTTTTTTTTAGACCATGGTTTATGGAAACCCTAGGTAGATTCTTTTTTTGGATAAGAGAAAGCCTAGGTAGATTCTCAAGGTGCTAAGTGGATTCTCTTACACTATTCTAGTTTTCCAATTGTCAATGTGAACAGCACCCGAGAATCTGATTGGTTTTCAATCATTAATCTGCATCACTAAACTATTCACTTTTGGTACAATAATTCTTTGAAGTTAAATACTTTACCATCAACCAAGTAAAGAAAATAATGCACATGATTGATTTCAATCTAGCAGAAAAAAAAAACAAAAACTGTGCATATAGCCAGAAAAGACTAACCTTATCGAGAATTGCAAAAACAATTTCATATAGTTGGGACAAAATCTCAGAGCTGCTTGAAGCATAGGTAAGAGCCTTTAGTGCTTGTAGTCTTCTAGCATGAACTTCAAAAGAAAATATAGTGTCAAGAGAAGCTGCAAACATTTTATTTGAGGAATCTCATTTGCTTTAATCAACAGTAAGATAATTCATTCAAGTTCAACAAGATGGACCAACAAAAGAAACAAAAACGAAGCCCTAACCCAGAGTAACACAAAAACTGTAGAAAAAAGATTTCTGCAAACCAATTGTCAGTTATGGAAAACCAAATCAGCTATAATGGTGGCCTAACCAAAGGTTGAACTATTCTCTGCTTCCTATAATAAATGAATAACACACAAAGGATGAAACAAAAGGTAGTACAAATCACATAAGAATAAGATTTGTCAATGCACTGATAGAGCCACAGCTAAAAATTATTGAGAAAGCCCCGAAGTTAATAGGGAATCCAATAAATCACGAACCAGAAACTAGGACCCCATTGTATTTTATTTTGATAAAGAATGGTTTTCAGAGAAGTCACAAATGTATATCTACTAGAGATATTTAAGACATTTATCCTGACTCGCCACTGGATCAGGATGTAAAGAATAGCTGGCAAACATGCTATTTTAATCTAACATCGAAACCAAAGAATCGGGAAAAACATGCAAAGGAAGAGGGGGGGAAATTGTCACCACAGACTACAATAAAAGAAACAAAGCAAAAGAAACCAGCTTACATTCAACATCAGGATTAGAGGCCTCTTTTACAAGCTGATCAACTATTCTTGGTACGACATCAGCTCGAGTCACCCCCCCAACAGCATCAATATCAGCAAGAGCATCCCAATTAGGTGTCGGGATGCCACCACCTGTACTTACACCTTGTGCACCAGTATCTGATAAAATTCTGGCTAAATAATAGTATACATAACGGAGGACACTCCTATCTTCACACTGCTGATTTAACTGTCAAATATACCCGGGGATAAACATTAGCTTTTGCTTTTTCTTTGTTTAAAATTAGATAATAATGAAAAACTATTAATGGAATAAGAGACTCCAACGAGGTATCAAATTCAGAGTCAAATCTTCTGATTCCCTGCCAGTGCAATATTCACCCAACCAAGATAAAGATTTATCATTTGTGCCAGTGCAATATTCCATTGCTACTACGACTTCAGTCTTCTCCTCTTTGTGAAAGGTAAAAATTCCAAAAAAGGTCAAGGATTTTGCACGGGCATATTTTACTAGGGAGACTCAATACCTTGGATTGTGTCCAAAAACATTCTTCCTTCTTCTTGCTCCTGCATTGGTGCATGAATTGTAGGAGGCATAAAGAGGATGTGAACCATTTGATGTGAGAGTGCCAATTCGCAAACTACCTCTGGAATCCTTGCCAGAGGTATTTTGGTGTTAGTGAGGCTTGTAATAGAGATGGGTGGTCTTTGTTAGAGGAGGTGCCCCTGCATCTTCCCGTCAGGGAGAGGGGAAAGTGCTGTGGCATGCAAGTTTCTTAACTATTTTGTGGAGTATTTGGCTTGAGTGGAATGTAGGATCTTTACGGGTGTTGAGAAATTTAGGGAGAAGGTTCAGGAGTTGCTGAGGTCTAATGCTTCTTTTTGGACGTTGATCACTAGATCGTTCTATAAACATGACATCGGTCTTGTTCGTTTGGACTAGAACCCTTTCCTGTAGTTAGTGTCGACATCTTCTTTTTCAGGGGCTTGTATTTAGTACGTCCTTGTATTCTTTCATTTTTCTCAAAGAAACTTTGGTTTCTTACCCAAAAAAGATCATCTTCCAGCAAATTATTTTGACAGATTTAGGATTCATTCATAACCAATTGTTTGGAGGAAAATGTTTGGGATACCATCAGTGTCTTCACGGAAAAAGGTAACAACTAGACCAGTACGAACAAAAAACAAACAGAACTTATCTTACCAATAAACATATACTAGACAAATATGAAGTCATAAAGATTGCTGAATCAAAAAAAGAAAAGAAAGTTCATCGTACCATGAGAAGAGAAGGTGCCAGCGAAGGATCAACTGAATTGTAGACTGCAAGTTTTGGGAATACATGATGCACTAACTGCTTCTGGGAGCTTTTCTATAAAATTTACATAAACATAACAAAGTATAAAATGTTATGCTTCCAAATCACAACAGTAAGAATTGTCACATACTGCTCACCTGATCAGACGCAGCAGCTAGTTCATGGATACTCCTAGCCAATTGGGAATAAGAAACAGGCTGCAAAACGTATCAAGTTGAACAAAACATAAATCAATACAAGTACCAGTACTAACAGTTCGAAGAGTTTCCCTTTAGAAATTAAAATTCCACTTCCAGGTTCCATCCCATTTCTAAATAAACAGAACCTCAGCAACAAAAAAAACAACAACGAAAAGAGGAAAGAGAAAAGCCGTGAAAAATGTAGCAGCTGACCTTCTTCTTGCTCTGTCTCTGCGGCATAATGTTGGTCCTCACAGGATTCAAAGCTGCTTTAGCAGCAGAAATCGTATCATTCTGGATCTGCATCAGTGCCGCCCTCTTAGACCTCTTCTCTCCAGTTGGCTTCCCCAGTGAACTGGGCAGAACACTTGAGGAGGAACTTGAAGATGAACTCATCGTTGATGAAGGGACCGATGAAGCAGCAGTAGAGATCGATCCCGCCGAAGCCGATGATGGGTCGGCAGTTATCAGATCCATTAGCGTCGTCCCCGACGAATCCTGACAGCACACCCAAAAAGCGAATGTTTACAAAGGAAATGACGAAAATGAATTGTCCAGAAAGGGAAGATCTGGTAAAGTACCGCCATGATCGATGGACGAAGCTCTTCCCCCAATTCGATTGATCTTGTTCGACTCTGCTTGCTTGCTATGCTACCTGTTCTTCCACCGCTCCAATTTTCACTGATGTTCGCTGGACATCGCAAGAACAGCAGTTGACAGTTCTAATACCCTTTTCTTTTTCTCTTCTTTTCTTTTCTTTTCTTTTTCTTTTTTTTTTTTTCTTTTTTCGACATATAATTAAACCAATTAGTTGTTTTAATTTTTAAAAAAATATTGAATAAATTATACATTAAATACCACTTTTTTTTTTTTTTAATTCATGAACCTATTAAATTAAAATTTTAAATATCATATATCAATACCAAATAGACACAAATTAAAAAGACGTTTTGGTAGTTTACTAATTTAAAAAATAATAATAATTCTTTGCAAATCAATGGGTTCTTCGAGAAAATAAAAACAATCGAATAACTAAATCACCATCCGATTAACGAGTAAAATAAGTGATTATTTTGATAGTTTAAAATTAGTAAAAAGCAGGAATGAAAAAAGAGATTTGTAAGTGCCCACATCCACCGCCAGTAGATATTGTCTTCTTTTTATTTTTACTTTCGGACTTCCCTCAAGGGTTTAAAACGCATCTGTGAATGTTTCCTCACCCTTATAAATGGTGGTTTGTTCTCCTCCCCAACTAATGTGGGACATCACAATTCACCCTCTTTCGGGGCTCATCGGTCTCGCTGGCACTCTTTCCTTCCTTCAATTGATGTGGGGTGGGACCGCCCCCAAATCTACCTCTCTTTGGGGCCTAGCATCCTTAATAGCACACCGCCTCGTGTCTACACCCTTTGGGGAATAACGAGAAGGCTAACACATCGTCCAATGTCTGGCTATGATACCATTTGTAATGGCCCAGATCCACCGCTGGCAGCTATTGTTCTCTTTGGGTGACCACTGCTAGCACATCGTCCAATATTTGCTAGCGGTGAATCTGGGTCGTTACAAGATTCATATGTATTTATGTCTTTGGAACAAGAAAATTATCAATGTAGACACCCGTTTGTCACATAAGAATTTGTGGAATGAACTAGATTATTCTTCGACTAGATTGTCTAGGCCTTTTTTATGTATTATTTTTATCTGTTTGTTATCGTTCAAGTCTTTCATGATAAACTAAAAATAAATTGTGTTTATCCGAGTAATTGAGTGGTATATGAATGAACTAAGACTACATTAGAATGAGAGGGATTTAGAGAATAGAATGACAAAGAAAAACTTAAAGGAAAGGTAAGATAATACCTATACCAACAAGGTGCACCTTCATTTTCAGTAGCTTAATCATAGGAGTTCCAGAGTTAAGTATGCTAAAGCGGAGACAAAGCATGCTAGAAGAACTCGTGTTCGTATGTGGGGATAGTCTTCTACAATGTTGAGGTCATAAGGTGCCTTCAATCTTAAGAAGCGAAAATCAAGTAACATGACTGTTATAGTAGGGGATGAAGGAGACAGGACTTAGATCATGTCTCCCGAGCAATCTCAAAATTATTTTTACTGAGAGGAAACTCGTGTTCGTATGTGGGGATAGTCTTCTACGATGTTGAGGCCATAAGGTGCCTCGTCGAGATTATGTACAGTGTTGAGGCCATAAGGTGTCTTCCGTCATGAATAGTGATTATTTCCGCATACTTAAACTAAAATCATACCTCAAACATACTTAAACTATATAAAACTCTCTCGTCTTCCCTATAAAGTTTATCTCTCCATACAAACTGAATTAAACATAGGAATCCGCATCTCAATCATGTAAAATTGATGTAATAAGAAAAGAGAATAAGGGAATATAGAGTTATCCCGGTTTGTTGCCGTTCGTCAATGGAAGTTTCTTTCTCTTGAGCTCTCTCGTTCACCTCTTTGCCCTAATCAATCCTTGTTGGTCTTCTTTTCTTTCTGTCGTCAACAACGGCTAGATTAGGGTTTTCTTCTTCCTCTCTGTTTTCACAGCGTTGCTGATGTGTAATTCGATTTTTCTCCCAAATTTTTTCATTTTATATTGAGCATGCGTTCCTCGTTAGGGTAAGTTGTCCACATAAGATGTTCTCATTAGTAGTTAATGACCCATTTGTACGGCTGGATTTAAAATTTCCATGTCGATCCCCCATTTATTTATGGATTTGATATTCCTCATGGTTTAGCATAAATGTCTGAAATTTTACAACATAATTCAATTAAATATATAATTAAGAATAAATTGGGTGCAAAAATGAGAAAATGGTGAAACAGTTAAATTAAGATCGATTGCACTGTAACAGTTCAAGCTCACTGCTAGCTGATATTGTCTAGTTTAGTCTGTTATGTATAGCTGTCATTCTCACGATTTTAAAACATGTCTAACCGACTAAATTGTCAATAATACCCTTCAACATTCATTTTTAAAAGCAAAGCTCTAATGTTTTAAAATTAGGATTGAACTGGAACAGAGGCCTCAAAACCCGCGGCTGAAAAATGGGGAAGAAATCTTGAGAGTGAAGAGTTCATGAGATGCGTGCGAAGCAAGGCGTTCACAATGATTCAACTTCCGTGGCAATGATTCGCTCCACCATCAGCTCATTTCAATAATCAACGATTCAACAATCATTTTCGCAGCTTTTTCTCTCGAATTCTTCCTTTATATTCAACGCAGAGGCTTCGTCGTCTCCTCCGATTCCACTGTTCATCGTCGAGTTCCATTTCCATGGAGGTCTGATCTGAAGAACACCTTACATTTCCTCCATTTTCTTCTCTGAAACTAATCGCTTATTCTCTTAATTACTCCGTCCATTAATTCCATCGTTTTGGTGTTGAATTGATCACACAGGTCGTTGATTTAAAGGTTTGTTTGCATTGCAAGTCCTGCGAAAATGCTGTTCGCAAAACGCTTTGCAAAATCAAAGGTACGGTTCTTTCGCCTTATTTTTCATTCGATTATAATTTATAATCAACAAAGAAAAAAAAGTTCATAACATTGTTTTGATTCATTTATAAAAGTTAAAAAATGGAGACAATTATTAGTTTGAATTTTTAATGGATCCAACTTTCAAAAGTTTAAAAGACTTTGTTAAAAGTTGTAATCATTAAAAGAGATTGATTTGATTATGAACATTACAAACAGGAGTGAAATGTGTGGAAACAAATATAGCTCTAAACAAGATCACCGTGTTGGGTTACATGGATCGTAAAATGGTCATCAAGGAGGTACGAAAAACAGGACGAAAGGCCGAGGTATTGCCATCTTCGTCCCTCCGCCCCTCGACTCCACGTCGGAGAAGTCGAAGAGCAACATCTGCATTCAAATGTATGTTGCCATCTTGTTTTCGCTAAAATTTACAAGCTCTAAATTGTTTTTGGTAAATAATATGAATGTCTTTAATGTTTGTCATTGTTTCAATTAAACTTTGCAATTTCTTTATGTGTGTTCATTTTTTCTAATTTTTTGATTCGAGGGAGTTTTGAAACTTCAACTTCTTGATCGATGATACATGTTTTCACTAGTTGAATTATATTCCTGATAGAATTTACCAACAAAAAAAAAAAAAAAACGTTACAATGCAGAAAGTGCCTAGGAGTTCTTATTTACTCGTAATTTTTTTCACCTAAAATTAGTTTAAGATAAAATTATAATATTGTATGAACTCTCTTCTTCATTTACTTCTCACTTGATAGGTTATCATGATACTTGTTATTTCTAGTTTTCAAAAAAATAATATACAAGAATAGTTTTCCAGTCAATTCGAGCATAGTTTAATGGATAAAGTACTTTTACAATCGTAAGGCTCGGAGATTCTATCTTTCCAATAATTGTTAAACTAAACGAAAAAGTATATATATATATATATATATATATATATATATATATATATATATATATATATATATATATATATATATATAGTTGCCACAATCGCGATTTTTAGGCATCAGATTTGGCAATTGTACAGCACCCACTCTCAACACTGAGTGGGTCAAGCCTACTTTAAGTTACATTGCCTGCGGTCAAGCAACGTGAATACAAACCTCGGGTCCCGATTTCAAGAGAAGATTTTAGAAAGCTAGAAGAGAGGTTTTAGAACAAAGACTCCGTTTTTTCCTCTTTTCGGATGGTAAATATTTTTCAGAATATGGAATGTGAATCAAACCCTTGTTTGAATTGAATTTGAGATACTGATGCAAGTTCTTCCCTCTGAATCAGATAGATTCATATCTATCTGAAAGAGGTTGACAATAAGTTCTTTCAAAATTGACTATTTGTCCCTCTATTAAAGGTGTTCCAGAAATGTCTGCGATCGAGTAAATAGCTCGACGAACGAATGGATCAGATCGAATTGGAAAATGGAAAGATTTGTACAAGTTATACATTTCGTCACCACTTTGTGGAAAATCGTTAGATATGAATATGTTAGATACCTTTGACTCAATTGGTGAAATAGTATCTCTCTCCAAAAAAGCATGTTTTTTTTAGAAGCAGATGTGAGGTGGCATATAAGCGAAAAGCAACGACAACTATTAGGTAGGGAGAAGTTAAGATTAGTGTTATATATATATATATATATTTCGAAGATTATATTTTATTTTTATCCACGTTTATTTTTAAACTTCAAAGATTATTTTATTTTGATTTCCAAGATAATCAAATAATGAATACATGCGTATACGTTGAAACCAGGCGATATAATGATTATTTATTAAAAATATTATAAACTAAAATAGACATTAAATTTTTTAAGAACCAAAATAAAATCCAAATTCAGAATTAAAAATGAAACAATTTACCTACTAAATTAATCAAACATATAAACTAATTACATTCTCAAAACACTTAATTGCCCCAAGCCACACAAAAAAATTATTTTCTCTAATTTATATATTATATTTTCACCTTAGCCAGATTATCCCTTTTTCTTTTTTTTTTTTTGCTTTCTAGTCTTTAAAAGCATGACTTGAATTTTAAAGTATACAAAACTAGCCTTAAAAAGCTTAATTTTCAAAATTTCAAAGCCTAAAAATAAATAATCAAATCAGCACATCGCTCGAATTTACCACAAAAATTTCATCCAGCTCCATCATAAAGGCTAATGAATCATCAAGTGTCTTCTAAATTGTGACCATCATAAAGGCTAATGAATCATCAAGTGTCTTCTAAATTGTGATGTTCTACATTGGTTGGAGAAGAAAACAAACTACCATTTATGAGGGTGTGGAAACCTTCCCCTATCAAACGCATTTTAAAGCTTTGAGGGAAAGCCCAAAAAGGACAATATCTGCTAGCGGTAGGTCTGAGGCGTTCAAAGTTCTAAGGAATCTCATCAAGTTCATCAAGAGCAATGAGAGAAACACAAGAGAAACAGAAGTGATAGTTGTACAACCATTCGAAAATACTTCAAAAGCAGACCTTTTAAACGTCATTTTCAAACGTCTGCACGATGACATATATATATGGGTAGAAAAACCTGAAAATTTCAAATGCAGTGTTCTAAGGCAAAAAGAAGAAAAGAAAAGCAGATCAACAATTAGTTACGATAGTGAAAACCTGGCCTGAAGGCTTCAGGGAGTGTTCCTGTAGATCAGACATCCCGTCTCGAAGCAACGACATGCTATGGTCTTGCTGGAGAATTCGACTCACTTCAAAGTATCTGTTCAAAAGCAGAATAATAGGAAGGTATGCACAAAGAAACCGACTTAAACAGCAAAATATAATTTCAGAGTCATCTCATCAAATCTATCTCCTCAAGCTCCTTCAGAAGTTCCTTGTGGTCTAGACATTAGAGACATATAGAATAGTATAGCAGACATTCAAAGGCGAAAAAAACAGAAGGATAAGAACATGAAGTAGCCCCCGCCCTCACGCTAAATAATCCTGTCGATCTGTCGTAAAATTCACAGCAGTTGCCCTAGGATAGCACCCCCATAAGAAAATATCAAATAAAACAAGTCAACTCCCTAAAACAAAGAAATTTATAAAACTCCTTTATTAACCTGCTTCACCAAATGGCTAACTCTATAGATACCCAGCACTTGGACTATCGATGAGAAATGCAAACATAATCTATATTGCACACTTGCAACGTAAAATACCACCAAACTAACCCACCCCCATCAGCAAAATCCTCCCATTCGAGAAATGCCATCAAAACCCTCCAAGGGAAAGGGAAAGGGAAAATTCAGTGCAAATTAAGCAATATTTAATCAGGAAAGCTTCTTGCCAAGCGCAACAATTTTCCTCCAGCAGCTTTGTGGGCAATTGAACATGAAAAAAATGGTAAAAAAGCGTCAGATATCATCTTCACTGCTATATATTTCCAAAATACTGCCTCAGATGTTATCAGCTATTGGAGAACAGAAAATCAGTCGCAAAGGGTGTCTCAAGATGCCAAATACCTATCAAACTCGTTCATCTAAGGCTCAAGGAATCAAAGGAGTCCAATCATACGGAAAAATACTCAATTCTGCTAGCCGTATCCACCTTCAAATGCTTGGACTCCCTTAATACTTAGTCTGTCTCTCAGCTGCATGACTGAAATAAGTCTCAGAACTTTATTTTACCGCATCATCAAGCGAAACTGAGGCATCTGTTCTAGATGTTGCACCCTTTTCCATTTCTGGTTTTTCTTTCTTATTATCATCGAGTCGTAAGGCTTGAGCAAACTGATCAGAAATTGGGTTAATGGAACTATCACCAAGTGGATTTAGAGAATTTGCAGTTGCAAATAGCTGTTGTCTTGTTTTCCTTTCTTTCAAAATCCTCTCCCGCTCATCATAGAAGTCAAAATCATCTATAATAGATGTTCGAGGATCATGGTCCTTGAAAATTTTCAACATCTCAATACCTTGTTTCAGTGGCACCTGTCAATGTATGGCATAAATAAATATAACATCAGGAAGCATGATGGGAAGGACTAACAAAATTTACTTGTACATATACGATAATGTAAAGCGCTCATCGACTAAGTACCCCAAGCGCAAGTACAAATAGAGGGTAAAAGGTAACATAAATAAAGCTCTTCAGAAGTTCACGTATCACAGTTAGATAGCAGGTCAATAACTTTTTTTTCTATGGACAAAATGGTCCCGATAATTTTAGTTTCTATTCTATCTCTATAGTTTCAAAACTAACTCCTTAGTCATTCAATCTCAATAGTTTGAAGAACACTCATTTTATTATTTATTTTTTTTATTGAAATGTCATACCTTCAATGAGAAAAAATAGAAAACGAGACTCTAACCAAGAAGAATAAGACCTGTCCAATAATAACAGAAACACTTCGCCACCTATACCCAAAAAGAAGCATAAAACCTAATGAGACCAAACGACACTAGGACCTCTCTCACATTTAATCTCTTTTTGACAAGGGTACACGTAGGGTAAGGAATTTGAGTGGGTAGGTCAATGAAAATATAAATATTATACCAAACCTAAGAACAACTTGATTTGCAGGACAAAGATTAAATTAAAAAAGAAAAGAACATGAGCCTCCGTGACATGAGTTTTTGAAGCTTCTTGCCCAATATTACTCGGTTATAATCTAAACATGGTAATAGCCTAGTAGTACAGGCTCTACCTAACAACAAATACCTGTATACATTTTGCCTTCATCCACATAGATGAGGATGCAGTTATTAAAGAATATTGATATGAAATGATACCTCCTGAGAATCCCTGCTGTGTGTAACAGGTTTGTTGTCATTATTTTCAAGTAAAACGTGCCGAAATCTAATATTAGGAACATCTTTGATGATATGCCACTTAACAGGAAATTGTCCACTCCACCTATCTTGCTGCCAGTAATCTACATTTTCCTCAAAGTCAACAGGTCCAACCATTTCAGCTACACCACAAAATTGACCACTGGCATTAACCTGCAAGAAAACACGACAAAATTGCTCATACAATATCATCCACTAAGAACTGTGGTCGATAAAAATAACGAACGATTGAAAGTATGCAACAAGATGCAAGATGATATAACCCACAAATACAAGGACGGAGAATCAATTCCACTAATTCGAAAACAGTTAATGTTAAAGAAGCTATCTAATGTGGCCACAAAATTTTAATAAATGCCATAACTTGAATATTATAAATAATTTCATTTTCCACTCTGACCCAAAAACTAAAGTCCTGCCCTTGATGGTGCATATTACATACACAATGTGCAAAATTCTCGAAAACTTTAAGAAGAAGCATTTAGTTCTTTTTTGTTTAACAATTTTCATCAAAACTATTCCAGGAAAAGATAAGTTGGTTTTAGTGGCCACATAAATTGACACTTCCCCAAAGGAGAATATGCAACGCCAAAAGGCACATCTATGGTTTCTTATTTTCCTCCTGCAAGCTCCTTGGCTACCTCTCAATACATATAACTAAGGCAGGAATGAGCTCTCCCCAAACCCCAAAGAAGGAACAAGATTTCCGTTGGGCAAAGAAGGAAGTTTTTAATGAGATAAGTCTCCAGAACTTACAGAGAAAAAGAGAAAAACTGGACAATTTCCTTGCATCTCTTTTGCCTCACGGTAAGCAGCATCCAATTTCTTGTTACCATGTGGAGTACTAGCCCAAACTTTGTACTTGATACTTCTGTGAACATTATCTTCACTAAATGACTTAATAACGAAAAACTTGGCAGTCTCATAATCTGTAGCAAAATTTGGCCGATTGTAGGAATCAGGACTAATTAATGAAGTTGATAAATCGTTTTTGCTTGCACCAGATGCAGCACTTAGTTCCCCTTTTCCCTTGACCTTCAAAGCTCTTGGCCCCCGATTACAGTCACTAAAGATACCATACGGATTATTAAAAACTGAAATTGAGTCCCGGTCCCTGTCTCTTCCTCTGTCCTTTCCAAGGACAAGTCGGCTTCGGTCACTTACAACTGGATAAGAAATTGATGCACCGCCAAAGTTAGAACCCTGATAAGAATTGCTTAATGGATACCGAGCATCAAAGGCACTTGAAACCAATCCAAATCCATGCATATGTCTCTGTTGTAAGGAAACCTAAAATGAAAACAAGTTAATGACGAGATAAAAGTATAAAAATCTATAATTAGAACCAAAATAATAGTCTTACCAAAAGGACAAGAATGTACAAGTATAACATAAATAAAGGTTTTGACAGTAGACACAACACCATAGTTTCAGTCAATTACATGATAATGTGATGGATGGCCATGGAAATAAAGCAAAAAAAGAACGCCAACTAGTTAGCTCAAGCTCATTAACAATAAATCTTCTCTCGACCTAACTAAAACAGAAACTAGGTAACTAATGCCAATGTTTTAAAAGGTGTTCAAGTCTCATGCCCTCATGCTAGCTCCAAGCTTTAACCTCAAAACTACGACACATATCTGCATGAAAGTATAATGATTTTTCAGAAACAAGATAATCAATAGATCCCTAGCTTATCGACCTATGTAAAACTCACACTAAAAGAAAGCAATCAAAACAAACTTACTTATATAGGATTTGTTCTATAGGTCATAGAACTGTCCTTGAATTCTAAGAAATTAATCCAAAAATTATCACAAGTATCCTCCCAAAATGAGGATAAATTAGCCCTTGATAGTCACCCATGATAACAGGGAATCAAATATGAAATACCACCTTACATTTCAAACTCTTACAAATTGGCCCCAATTTATTTACTTGTCCTTGCAACATTTGAAGTCGATATATCAGTAAAATACCTGCTTCTTAACCAAACGCCATCGAAAACTTGAATTTATAAAATCAAATGTATTTATACAACTTTCCCTCTTGCTTACACAAACCTTGAGTATTTGATGTCAAGAAACTAGTTCGACTGACATGGATTCATCCCTAGTTTCTACCTGATTTCTTCTCTCTTGAATGGATTGAGTACTTTCAGTAAGCAAGCTCAAGCACATAAGATAAAGTTAAACGCATTTGATATCGTTAATAGGTCTCTTCATCAATTTGACTTCTTAAATAATTTTAGAGAGTAAAGAAAATTATTTGGTCTTTTATACTAAGGAATTCTGTATTTGAAGTTTCATCAAGACGTAGCCGCATGATTTACATTTTACATTACAAAAGCAAAAGCAGAACAAGAACGAAGAGAACATGAAAACCAACATTGTTCTCTGGGTAATACGAGTATTACTAAGTAACAACATATTCTATTATCAAGGATAATATTTAGATTGACATTTAATTTATCGTTCGTTATTAATATAATATTTCTTCCTTATCTAATTTCTTTTAAGGACATAATACTATATTTCTTATCAGTAAATATTAAGATGACAACAAGATATTCTGGGGATAAAATGTGATACAAAACAGCTCAATGTAGGTCAATACAAGCAATACCAAACAGCGATTTTAGGTTGTAGAAGCATCTTTCCTAACTATCACTATATTGTGATTAAGTAAACAAACAAACCTGCCCGACATTCTGATCATTTGAGCCAAGCATTCCCATTGGTTGTGGATAAGCTGCCGGAGATGATAAAGAACCTGAACCCAGATTTCCACCACCAAAGGACCCAAAATTTAGCAAAAAACCTGTTCCTGGCCCATAAAGCATGTTGTCAAATGTACTACTCTCAGGTGATATCATCTCTGTTGGTGAAACGGGAACTGCAGAAGATCCATGAGGTAAACATGGTGTAGCTTGTTGTGTGTAGTATGATGGGGAGAATGGGACTTGTTGAGGAGGATATCCTTGTCCATCTAACATAACAGAAGGCATAGGGGTAGCAACCGGTGAATATTGTCCATATGCCATATCTGGATTAAAGCCATAACCAGAATGGAAGACTATAGATGGATTGTCATTGTACATAACCTGATACATGTACAAATCAAAGAGTGAATTAGGCATATATAATCTATTTTTAAATGGATATAAGATCATGTTTTCAAAAGTAAAACTCACTGGTGATACAACAGGAAAACTGTCAGCATTTACATATTGTGAATAAGCATCCCAAGAACCAGCACTGCTTCCACCATACCCTGAAGTCAACACAAAGACACGACATGTTGGAAGATAATTTGTCGGACATAGGAGTGAAAAAATTTGTAACAATCTGTGAAAACTAATATATAACATATCAGTAACCAGAATTCTTATCAAAAGGTGTCAAAAGCACACGAGAAGAACAAGATTTCTTGTCCCCTATAAGTCAGTTAGAGCTGTGTTCAACTCAGTCGGGAATTCCCAATGATGCACAAAAGCAACCTACTAAAAGCCAGGATCCTGTAAAGACTGATATATGAACAAACAGTATTACAAAAGGAGTTCAGAAGCAACCCAAATGAGAAGCTAGACTTCTTGTCCCATATATACAAGCGGTGTTCTCAACTGATGGGACAATACTCAGCGATTTTACCATGTGATTTGGAATCAACGCTATTCCAAGAAACTCAAGCTTTTGTGTCCGAGCTTGGTATCTTATGTTTTGTTTAAAAATGGTGAAATTTGTTGTGGCGCTCCTCTTCTCCTGGTTTTGAGCAAAAAGTTTAGAGGGATTAGTTTGACTTTTATGGCTCCAGGGAGAGTTTATAAATTTTTTTTTGTAAGTCTTCATGCAGGCACCCCTTCAAAAAGAAAGCAAATGTATTGTGGCTCAATTTAATTCTTTTAGAGTTTTCTATTGGATAACTTAACAAGAAATGAATGACAATCTTCCAATGGCTGAGAGATCTTTAATTGAGATAGGAAAAATTGTGTTTTCTTTGAACAATTTCTTTTAACAAAATATTGTTGCGTTTGTTTAATCCTCTTGGAGTGGAACTTATTGCATTATTTCCTTAAAGTGTTCTCTTTCAGTGATTTATGCCAATTGGAAAATTCTCAGCAACACCTTTGGCTTATAAGGGTTATCCCCCTGCGTGTATTCCATCTATTGAATGAACTACTTGTGTTTCTCATAAAAATAAGTGAATGAACATCTTACTTATTTCACAATTCTTAAAATCGTGGAGGTACAAGAAACAGCCAACTTAAAATCGTCAGAAATGCAGTAAAAAGATGTAGTAGCATTTCAAATCAGGAGTAAAAGATGACAATGGTCCTCTCTCTCTCACTCGATCTTTAATTGACTATGATCCTATCATAAAACATAAACACACAAATGGCATTATCACTCTAAAGGTCCAAGGAAAGAAGCTCTCTTTATTTTCTTTTTTCCTTTTTTTTTTCTCTTCAGTAGCCTATTATTTCAGAAGATCACTAGAGATGGTATGATATGAATTTCAAGGAAGATAAATTCATTTATTCTCATATGGTTACAAATTTTGGGTGGATGACAATTTAGAGTTATGTATTTCATTAATATATTTTAAGACTTTATTTACTTTAAGGTTACATTTACATAGTGGCTAATAGTGGCTAATAGTGGCTAATTATGGTCATAAAGCATACAAAGTGACTAATAAAGTATACAAAGTGGCTAATTATGATCATAAAATATGAAAGTTACTCTTGGAATTTAAGAGTTCTCATTTTGAGGTTGTATAAAGTCATGTATGTTGTCTTTGTAAAGGGGAGACTTGGAAAAATGTAGTAAAAAGAGCATTTGTGCTTTCTTTTAACCAATGGCTAAATTTCTTTGTAATTCTATATAGTTTAGATGGCATGTTTATAATCATTCAAGCTTGACATGATCAATCTTGCTTGTGAAGTGAGTAAAATCTCAAACAAATGTTTTTACCTTGAAATATTTGATCAACAAGGTAACCCGAATCTTACTTGGGGTGATTTCTTATTATGGTATTTCTACATAATTATCTCCAACTATAAGCTGAAAATATCCTTTTCTCATCCTATAATTTGTTTAAGATTTCCTATCAAAAAAATAATTTGTTTAAGATGAGAAAATATTTGAAGGGACTTTCTTTGAAGAGGCTGGCTTTAGGCTTGAAAGTGATGTCAACATTCTTGGTTATGGATATATATTGGGCCAGGGAAAATGTCAATAGGTAGCTGTCAGATACCATTATAGCATCAATGAACCACCCCTTTCTAATATTGGTCTCCCTCTTAGAGGAAACTGGACGTCTGAGGAGGGGTTTTAGCACCTGAGCTTTAAAAGTTTTGTGTGCAAGCTGAAAACACTAAAATAGTCTAATAGTGCTATGGATAGAACGCTTGCTACAGTAATGATCTTTTCCGGCTTCCTTTCCAAGGATATCAAAGAAAGATCACAGGTCCACGAGAGGTGGTGTAGAGGGCTTAGGATGTTCTGAGATTCTCTCCAAAATCTCAGCTTCAAGCCTCTTGATACTTATCCTTACGAAAAGAAGAATACAAGATGTCCCAATCCTAAATGGATACCAGAAGTGAGGGTTGAAGAACTAACCACCATATTGTACATTTGGTTCATGTGAAGCATATACGTTCAACGGGTGAACACTGCTAATACTTGTTCCTGCATCCATAGTCTTTTCTATGGCATCCCTTGAAGGTCCAATAATTACTGCATTTGGAGAAGGATTTGTTGAAGCAATTCTTCCACCTTTAGGTGAGAGTTGCTGGCAATGAACCGGGAAAAATACCAGAAGTAAACATCAGTTGTCAAAACTTATAAACATGCAAAGCAAATACAAGGGAAAACATTCTAAAGGAATTCAGCAGCCTTACCGGCTCTTTCAGGTTATCTTGCCTAAGAGATCTTTCTCCTGCATAAATAATCGATTGTTCAGTGCCCCTATAGAGGATAAAAGTACTTAGAAAATACCCATTTGTAGAATTAATTTTTCCTCGTTAAGATCCCAGTAACTCCATACACACACTCGGCTTATATTTCTGCACCCTAGAAGATGGTCACATAACCGGAAATATCTTCCCCTTCAACAAATTAAGACCAAGAATAAGAAAGTGGATTACTGAATACTTTGACCTGTTAAACCTTATTGGAGTAATAATCAAGGTACTTTCTCAGTCTATGAAGATCTTAGACAGATCAATGATGATTGACAATCAACCCACCGAAAAAGGCATCCGATTACATGGTCAGCTGGTCCGTATCAACTCAAAGACCGGAAGAAAAAAGAGTAGAAAAAACAAAAACTACAATGATTTAGCTCTCTGTCGGTGCTTTTTTTTTATTATTTTTTCTTTGGCAGAGCAGCATATAAACGGGTAAATCAAAATGTTCTTCAGCAAATTCCCAATTCACAGACCCAATAATCCAAAACCAATCGCTCTCGTAAACACTCATGTTCAATTTCGCAAATCAAAAACAGACAAAATCTCATCATACAGAAGTTAACATAGCACAATTCCGCAAAAGAACTGGCAATTTGACAAGGAACACAATTCAAAACCAGAAAGAAGACGGAATTAATCAGTAGTCAAACAAGATGCAGATAACATACCAATAGGAGCGATTCGATGCTCCTCGTCGGAACGTTCCATAAAAACAGAGATCCAGGAACAGAAGTGAGCTAGAAAAACTCAAACGCAGGCAGATTGGGAAGGAAAATTGAGGTGGGAGAAAATCAAACGGGAAATTTAAGAGGGATTTTGGGATTTGAATGTATGAGAATAAAAAGGGTTTTAGGTTTTAGGAGCCAATATTTTTACCAAAATAAAAAATAAATTAAACAATTTAATTGAATTCAATCGGAATTTGCTGGCAAAGACCTTAAAGTAAACATTTAATTTTTAAAATTTTTAAAATAAAAAAATAAAAAATAAAATAAAAGATATTCATAGAATAAAAATTTAAGAAAGAAAAGAATAATTTTTCATTCCATTTTTATTAGGTTTATTTTAGGCCAATCAATAGTTAGGTCTTGTGATCCTTCGCCTTTCTGAATATTTATGGTAGTCTTAATACGTCATACTCGTAGATCCAAGCTTTAACAAATACAGTTAGGGGAATACCCATCGTGGGTTTCAACTTCTATTCTCTCAAACGGTGCTGGCGTATAACATCGACGGGTACTTGAATTCCATCTGCTCGGTTTTATTTGAGAGTTTTCAAATGATCGATGGATCAGTCTCCATCCATAGTGGATATGTTCCAGCTTCATCCTTAGAGGGAATGTCGTCATGGAGTGTTATCTACATAATACACGAAGGTTGAACTCTATAGGCATGTTGATAGAAAGGGCATACTCGGTTTTTCACAAGTGTTATGATAGGTTAGATTATCGTGGGTGGTTTGTTTCAAAACATGTTTGTCGAACGAAATTCACTGTTCGATGTCTGATAGATTTTTATATTTAGTTGAATGCTTTTTTTTTTATTTAATCATATAAATACTACAAATAATTATAGTTTGTTATATAATTTTTAATTATATTTTATGTCCAGCTCATTAACTATTAAAACAGACAAAATTAAATCACGTGATTTAGATATAATTTCACATAAAACTATAAAACCATGCACGGGCCACGTCAGCGCTACTGGAAAAGCTAAAATATTATATGAAATTAAAAGGCTTAGAAATTATAAAAAAAAAATAAATTATTTCAATTTACGAAATTGCCCTTTTCGTTTCCGAACTTAAAAAAGAGAGAGAGAGCTGAATAGTTGTCTCGTGAAATTAGTTGAGACGTTTTAATATAAAAACGGTAACCAATTGGATCTAAGATGCAGCTAAAAATCTCTAATCGAGATAAAATCATCTTTAATATTGTGAAACTCCCGAAAATTTGATATAACAGTAGAATTAAACCCTTTAATCTAAAACATTTGACAAAATTAGAATATGGATGAAACAATTCATCTATGACTTAGAATCAGATAGTTGTCGGGTGAGATCGGAATAAAAGCTTAAAATTATTATTTAAAATTTTAATTAAAAATGTTTATAATAAAACACATTTAACATTTATTATTGTTTATTGAATGCTTAATAAAACAAAATAATAAAGTGCAATAATTACTTGATTTAATAAAACATACTTTAATTATGAGGGCCACTATATTGTAATAAATTAGTCATCCCCATTTATTAAAATCTAATATGCTATTTATTAATTTAAAAAATTAAAAAATTAATAGAAAAATATAGACGTTAAAACTAAATTAATAAATATATTCTTCAACTTTATATTTTATATTAAATTTAAACTTTTTTAACATGGTAATATTATTATTTATTATTTATAGAAAATATCTTTAAACTTTTTTAATATTATTTATTGAAACATGGTAATAACATTAAAGATATTTAAAATTTTTTAAAATAGTTTAGAGATGGTTTTTAAAATTTAAAATATTAATGAAATTTTTCAATAACCATTTTGTTAGTTTATTAATATTGTCTTGTAAATGTTGATTTGGAGGTTAGAAGGTTGAGTTAGTGATAATCAATCAGCTCTGCCTACGACAGTCATGACAATTGCCCCAGCAACATTAAAGGCAACCGTGGCGGTGAAGAAGAAATGAGTAGAGGATTCATAACCATTGAAAATAAAGAACTGAGATTGCTAAATTGAGAGGGCTTTAATACCACGAGAGTATTTGTTAAAACCACTAAAATAGTTTGAAAATTAAGGATATGAAAATTCAGTAATATATAGATATAAGATATTCACCTATAATAAAAACACAAATGTGATGGCAACTGCCCCTGCGACGTTAAAGCTGACAGTGGTGGGGAAGAAGATGAGTAGAGATTCATAACCATTGAAAATAAAGAATTGAGATTGCTAACCGAAAGGATTCTAATATCATTAGAGTATTTGCTAAAACAACTAAATAATGTGAAAATCAAGGATGTGAACAGAGTAATAGATGAATTTATATTGGTTAGAGTAAACGGACAAACATAATATCTACTTAAGAAAGACAAATATTTCGGTTCGATCTAACCGAAGAACTAGAGTCATAGCCCGAAACTTTATATCTAGAAACTGGAAAATCTCTGAAACAAGACAAGCTTGAAACTTTTTAGGATTATACAAATGAAAAGCAAATGAAGCTGATACGATGTTGATAAACTTCGGATGGCTCAAATGGTTCTTTGAAAAAAGCAGCTGCCACTGCCACTAATGCAATGCCAGCGATGGCTGACCCATCAAAGATGCTGCACTGTCCGACATCCCCAGTTTATTATTAATAATTGTCACTTCATCAATTTCTATGCTTTTCCCAAATTCTCCCTCGTTTTGTTTTTAACTTTTCCCTCTCTTTTACCCTCCCAAAATCATTCCTCAAACCCCCAAATATTCTCCACTTCGGGCTCGCTTCTTATCCGGATCGACCCGTGTTCGATTTCGGGTCTAAACTCGGCATTTTGAAGCTAATCTTGCCTCTACTTCACTTTTTTGAGGTGGGTTTTCTCTTTTCTCATCTGGGGTTTTCTTATTTTGGCAAGTTTTTGAGCTTTCTTGCCTCTTTAATGGCGGATTCTTCCGGATCTTATTGCTGAGATTACTGTGTAATGTTGTTACTGATGAGCTGAAAAGGGTGTTTAACCATTTCCCTTTCTGTTTCGAAGGTTCTTTTTCTTGTTCTTTTCTTGTTTGGGTCATTTGAAGATGTTGAACAGCAAAATGGGTTGCTGTTTGTTGTCAGGCTCCGTTGGTTTGGTGTCGTTGTTATCAGTGATTTGTTCTGTGGCGGCCATAGGCGTTAACTGGGGTACTCAGTCGACTCATCCGCTGCCGCCGGAGACCATTGTTAGGATGCTGAGGGACAATCAGATTCAGAAAGTGAAGCTATTCGATGCTGATTATGGAACTCTTAGAGCTCTGGGGAAGACTGGGATTGAAGTCATGGTTGGGATCCCTAATGATATGCTCTACACTTTTGCTAACAGTGAGAAAGCAGCTGAGAAATGGGTTTCAAAGAATGTCTCTGTTCATATCAATGAACACCATGTTAACATTAGGTGAGTTTTTTCTTTTGTTCTTATTGTTTTGTGTTGTTTTGGGCCACTTTTTTAGTTATGTTGCTTTCTTGTGAGTTCATTATGGTGTCTTAATCAGCTATGTATCTATGAACTTAACGTTTTGATTCTTTTCTCTTGTTAGTTAATTCTAGTAAGGTTAGATGTGATATCTGAATGATTGAGATGAATTTTATGGGTAGAGAAGTGGGAGAGCTCCTACATGGGGGAGGAAAGCAAAGCATTCTATATAAGCATGTGAAAATATCTCCCATGCATTCTAAAACCTTGAAGGGAAGATCGAAAGGGAAAGCCCAAAGAAGACAATATCTGCTAGCAGTTGACTAGAGTCGTTACAGTTGGTATCAGAGCCAAACACTGGGCGATGTGTTAGTGAGGAGACTGAGTCTCGAAGGGGGTGGACACGAGGCGATGGGCCAGTAAGGATGCTGAGCCCGAAAGGGGATGGGAACGAGTGTCAGCGAGGATGTTGGGTCGCGAAAGGGGTGAATTGTAAGATCCCACATCAGTTGGCAAGGAGAACAAAGCATTCTTTATAAGGATGTGGAAACTTCTCCCTAGGAGACGTGTTTTAAAACCTCGAGGGGAAGCCCAAAAGGGAAAGTCTTAAAAAGACAATATTTGTTAGCGGTGTGCTAGAGTCGTTAAAGTTGGTATCAGAGCTGGACACTGGGCGATGTGTCAACAAGGAGGTTGAGCTCTGAAGGGGGTGGACACTAGATGGTGTGCCAGTAAGGACGCTGGGCTCTGAAGGGGAGTGGATTGGGGAGTCCCACATCTATTGGAGAAGGGAACAAGGGTCAACGAGGACGCTGAGTCCCGAAGGGGGTGGATTATGAGATCCCACATCGGTTGGGGAGGTGAACGAAACATTCTTTATAAGGGTGTGGAAACCTTTCCCTAGTTGACACGTTTTAAAACTTTGAGGTGAAGCTTGAAAGGAAAAGCCTAAAAAGGACAATATTTGCTAGCGGTGGGCTATGGTCGTTAAAGTTGGTATTAGAGCCGGACACTAGGTGATGTGTTAGTACGAAGGCTGAGCCCCGAAGAGGGGTGGACACGAGGTGGTGTGCCAGTAAGGACGTTGAGCCCTGAAGAGTATGGATTGAGGGGTCACACATCGATTGGAGAAGGGAACGAGTGCGAGCGAGGACACTGGGCCCTAAAGGACGGTAGATTGCGAGATCCCACATCGGTTGGGGAGAACAGAACATTCTTTATAAAGGTGTGGAAACCTCTCTCTAGCAGACTTCAGGGCATCTATCCCACATCGGTTGGGAAGAATGAAACATTCTTTACTCCCTAATTTTATGCCATCTATCCTCTCTAAAGCCACTTGAGGGCAAGTAGAGAATAACAATTCTGAGCTACCCTTTTCACTAGAGTTGGAGGGACCTGGTTTTCGGTCATAGTCATGGCTTGAAACAATTGTCACGGTAAGTCTGAAAGATCCTAAAAGACTCAAGAAAATGGAGTTTGGACTAAATTCTTGCGGTTGGACACGGTTGAGGTAAAATGACGGCACGACACGACACGACATGACATGACACGACTTAAGATGGTAGAACTCTTGCTTTTCACACACGAACCATTAAACTTATAGCTCCCTCGTTTTAAAACTTTTAATCCAAGTAACCCCGCCATCCTAGTCCTTAAAGGTTGCCCCGTTGGCTAAAGCTTACAGTCTTTTAGTAACGCCTACTTAGAGGTTACATGTTCAAATGTTCGAATCTTCACGT